CAGTGTCAAATCAGAGCTCAGCTCTGAACTGGAAGGAGTACCTCCCTAAACACCTTTTGTGGTCACAGCCATGGGGTCAAACACAAAGCCACCCTGCCCACAGATGTTGCCTGCCCACCTCGGGCTTCTTCCTCAAGCAAGGAGTGGGGAGGGAAGAGGTAGGGAGAGGCTGAAGAGGAGCATTGCTGGCATAGGGAAATCTTTTAGCTCACCCCTTCATCCTCTAGCCTTCTACCACCATCTGCAACACCTACTCCCCCTGTGCTATGCAAGGAGTGGCTCAACAGCTGTAGTCCCTGAAGTTTTACATCCCTGCTTTTAGGGTCAGCTCTTGCCCAGCACACTGGAAAAGAGCAGGGACCTGAAAGCATGTCTGTGTTGAACGGGAAAATGTGTGACCAGTGCTGCATTCAGAAAGCTATCTCCTGTCCTAGAATTTCCCTTAGGGAAATAAGTATTGTAAGTGTGAGCTGTCAAGCGTCCACTGCTGCTCCTGTTCAGAAATGAAGGCTCCTTCTACGTTGAACTAAGTCACAGCACTCCTTCTCTTTGACTGACTCATAAACTGGCTGACAGGGACATGACATCTTTCAGTGGCACACTGCGGTAGGCAAGACTGAATCCCCTAGACAGTGCTTCACAAGCCATGAAGAAAAGAAAAATCTTGCTAAATCTGATTCCTTTTTGTCACATCAGATTTTAAGTGTGTGCACTTTGATAAGGTATCATCACTGAGAAATGAGTAGCAGGAAAAAACATAGGAAATCCATCTCTTCTTTCCTATTATTTTGTAATAACACTTTTTAGTGTTTATTCTTGTTGGATTTGATTTCTTTGGACATTGTGTTAAAAACACCTACTACATTTAGAATTAGGTAGAGAAGTATGCTTCACTTGTTCCTTCAGTGCATGTTTCCTGTACACTTTCTTCTGTACACTGTTCTATGTATACTTTACGTGCACTCTTCTGACTGATATACTTTTATTCTGATCTACACACCATCTTTCTGACTGGTATGCTGTCCTTCAGACTCAGATACAAAAAGATTTCAAGGATTTGAGATTTTAAGAGAGATAAGATTTTCAAAGGGCTGTTCTATGTTCATTATATGTCTTCTGTGGAAATGATAAAAATAAAACATGTCCTGTTTCCAGAAAATTTTGATAGTTTTCATTGTGTTTTCATAAAAACATCTATTTCCTTCATATTACTTAAGAGTGTAACTCCCCCATATGGCTGAGTCAACAGCTGCTACATATTGCTTAAAAATGAACAAATGAAGAAATTTCTGTTTGGACTATGTATTTGCACACCTCGGTAAAAATATTACGTCATGACTGTAAGCTCCAGCTGTACATTCTTTAGAGACAGAGCAGATTTCAAAGAGTCTCATTTTGAGGTTTAGGCAAATATCTTACGTGAAAGTGCTAAACTTACCAATGTCACGCAGTTATGTTGGCTCTTTTCTTCATTTCCCCAAGGAAGTGTGAGAGTATGCACCAGTGATCATCACAAAGATGTGAACAGACCACTGTATTCAAAGGCTTGTATTAATAATATGGTTGTGTAGATTTTCAGTGGGTTTTACTGCTGCTATTTACTGTCTGTGTGATGGTAAATCATCAGAGCTCTGTCAAAGTTTAAAGGTATTGCAGGAGTTTACATAAACATCTATATGGCCCTAAACTGTACAGCTGACATCCATGAACAGATTTAGAGCATGACAGAGCCCTGCACAATGCTTAAAATCTGGGAAATGGTGATAGGAACAGAGCTGTTATTTGCAAAATGAGAATTTTATCTGGTCCTACTGCTTCTGTACTTTTAAAAGTGACACAAACCCAAGAGACATATTTGCTAGCAGCAAGAACAGGAGTGATGTAAACCAACACTCATAGAAATATTTAAGACTACACATAAAATTCAAAGCACAGGAGACCACTCAGGGACCAAGCCTGAGCAAGAGGTTTTGCCACTTTTACCAAGGCAGGCTCACCATCAACCGGCAGTTTTTGACTGTAACCTCTTACAGCCCTCACCAATGAAGAAAGTATACATTTCTAACTTAATCCAGACTGCTACATAGTAAAGCCACCTGAGAGGATATTCTGAAGGAAGTAGATGGAAAAGGAAGAGATTCCTCTGAATGTAGTATAAGTTTTACATTATCCTCCATGAACGTCCATGTAGTCCCCATGTTTACATAATTTATCGCTATTTCCTTAAAACAGCTCAGATTAGAAAGCCTGCATGAGCTCATGTTCTTGTTGTTAATTCTGAGTCTGAACCTCCCTATTTTAAAGGCAAATTAGGTACTATAAAAAGAAATCAGAGAGAGGCAACCAGACCTGAGTGAAACCCAGTAACATGAAGTTCTTGATCATCCCAGGAAATACACTGTTTTACCTTTCCTTCTTTCAGCCTCAGGAAGATACTGTCATGAGCATTTGCCCACAGTGATAAATTTTTGTTCCTAGCCATGCACCTATAACAGCAAAACTGCAATGGTGTAGTACTGTAAGTGTGAGGGTGGGGCCTGTTGAAACCAGGAAGGGTTGAAGATAAGTTCAGTGATTTCACTGAACATCCTTTTGTCTAAGGATTAAAAACAGAAATGTTGTCTGTGTAAAGACATGGCATGTAGATAATTTAAGGTGTTCTTTCACTAGTCGGTTGTGGTAACTGGAGAGACCTAAACAGCCTTCTCTCTCCTTTCATGTATTCTTCTGTGCCTCCTCCCTTTCTGCACAAACACTACCATTACTAGTGGGAATGTCAAAGGGTTTTCTTATCTCTGTCTCACTCTCTCTGTCTCTGCCTACAGGGATGCTGCTGAGGCACCACTGCAGCAGTGGTGGCATCCAGCTGGTTGACACACATTACAACATCCCTACCAGAATCACTGCTTCAGCAAATGATCAGGAAAATCCATATGGGGAATGCTAGTGCTTCAGTTCAAATGCCTACATCATTTTGCCATCAATTAAATCTGTCAGTACTTTGTTCTGCTACAAAACAGAGTCCAGGTCCCCTCTTTGTCCTCCTACACCCCAGCCCATCTTCAATCCCAGGTATTTCCTCTTCTCTTGTACCCAGGGTTGCACATGGTTATTGTGCAAACAAAACCCTTGCAGGAGTGAGTGCCTGGGGAGCTTGGAAACCTGGCAGGACCACAAGGCCATTGGCAGCAATGGTTTCTGCTAGGCTAGGCTGGAGCCATCAGCTCTACACCCCTTCTTCCTGCTGACCTTGGTGGGATTGAGGTCTGCTGCGTACCAGAGGAAAAGGCAACATTAAGAGCCTCCTGGGAGTCTCTGCCTCCTGGATTTGGTCTCCTCTCTGCAGCAGGGTTTAGCCTCCCTGTCTCTTGGGTGCCACAGAGGAGAGAGCTGGCTTTGTGCTCACTGGCAGATTTACTACCATGTGGTAGTAGGAATAACCTGATTGTAGCAGTAACATTTGAAGGATATAAGCAAGACACGGAAATATCTTCTATTAGAACAGCTTGGTGTGTTCTGAATTGTGTGGTGTAGTCAGATCAGGCTGTGTTTTTTGCACAAGCTGGCCTAACAAAAGACATTATCTCTCCTAAAGTACTACCAGATTCATCCTGTGTATTACCTCCACCATTCAGAGACATTAATATTATTAGCTGTGCCATGGATTCATCATTGCTGCAACTGCATTGATTTATTTTGTAGAAATCTGATTCCTACAAATGCTTTGGAGGGTTACATCATTTTACCCCTTCAGCTCATGGCTAGGATGTTTTCTGTTTCGTATGCAACAGCTCCTAATTCAGATTGCAGTTGATATTATGACAATTGTACAGTGTATAATAATGTATTAGAACCATAAGGTGGAAAAATGAAAGTATTATTCCTTTTTAAAAGCAGACCTCTTTCCAGAAGAGCAATAGACCCTTTATGCTCCTGACTCAGCAATCATTCATCTGTATGGAGGTGCAGCAGCCCATGGGCTCTGCTGGGCAGTGATGGACTTGCTTTCATGCCCAGAGGTTTTTTTTTCTCTTGGTGCACATATAACAAAGTGTTAGAGTTAGTTTCTTGGGGTTTTTAACTCAGAGCAGGCTGGGTGAAGAAAATGAAGTGGATTGTAACTGCAGTGTTTGACATGAACTGCAGTCATGACACCTTGTGGCTTGCATTTTTTTCAATGTGTTCAAAAAGAATAATACTGCCCAACACAAAAAGTTCCAACACGTTAGTCTTTATGATGGATCCAGTCTAGTTACTACATTCAGCCTATTGAATTTTGTGGATTTAGAGAATCCTTCAGTGTGATGATGCAGAGCGATGCAGAGTCCCCAGGCAGTGCAAAGGAGAGCTTCTTTGCAAAATTCAGGTCTTTTTAAGCAGTTTATCACTTTACAGAGTTTTAAGGCACAATAGGCCCAAGTCAACCAACCACCACACACTGTGATGTGGGCATGCAGCAGTCACGCAGCACATCTCTAATGTCTCTCCACCCTTATTCCAGCTGAGTCCCTCTCCCATAGTTCCCTTCTACTTAGCCTGAGTAGCAGACCTGAGCCATGATTTAACAAGGGTAACAAGGCCCTTATTTTAGAAGGCTTTACCTCTATTTTAGGAAAGCAGAGAGGTGGGTTTTATGCATATGTCCCTCCTTGCTGTAATGCAGTTCCCACCTATCCACGTTCAGGACACACAGAGGTATTTACTACATGCTGGACTCACACTACAGAACTGTGCTTGTGTTTCTGCATTATCACTGCAAGGTGACCAATGCAGAAAGAGGACAATTTGGAGCAGGCACTGTCCACTGCTTCCTCCTCTCTTTCCCAAGGGCCACTGCATATATTGTTCTGGTAGTTGTGCCCAGCAAGCCAATAGCTGTCCCCCAGCTCATACAATTGATGCATTTCCCTTCTTTCTTTACAGTAAAAGAGGCCAGTTGAAATACTAAAAAAAATGTCTCACTTGAAGTAGGCAAAATAATTTTAATTGGTTTTTCTTACCTGAGCAGGCTTCTTTTGAACCACTTGTTGAGGCTGAAAAGCAAAACAAAGGCACGGTCAGAAACAAAATTAAGTGAGAGCACTTAATTGTGACTTTAAGAGCGCTAGGAAAAATATTTTCATCAATAGAGATATAACACAGGAAAAGCCCACAGTCAGAAATGGAAAGATGAACATAATCAGCTCTCACACCCAGACTCTCCTATCTAATAGTTTGCTCTGAAGCAGTTCATATTACTGTGGATGAAGAGGAGTATGCTAAGTTTTTACAATTAAAACCGAGGTGAAATCTAATTTAGCATGTTACATCTCTCAGCTCTTCTATGGTACTGCTGCCTTATCAGACCATGAGAGTGACTTGATTTTGTAACTAGATTTTGTTGTCTCTGCTGCTTCCCTGTTACAACACTCTCATGTCTCTGTGAATGGAGTGTCCTGCTGTGGGGAAATCTCCCCACTCATCATGGGTAGGTCAAAGCTCAGGCAGAGAGGTGAAGGATACATAATCCCATTCCTAAACCACAGATTCCCACTTGACCAAAGCCACCCTTGCCAAAATCAAGGAGACTGGGATGGCCAGTGATTCCAGCCCTTGGAAGTTGTGGTTTGAGACCTTCAGCTTCATGAAGGCAATGCTGTGCTGACCCTTGCAAGCCTATTGGTGTGAATCATAGGGATGCCCATCCTTGGCCAGGTTGGGTGTGTCCACCTGCCTATGCAGGACCTGGTAGTACTACCATGGATTCTCAGCAAGTCTCTCCTGGCTGGTTCCACCCAGGGCTGGAAAACACAGTCCTCACATGAGCCAGGAGACTCACCAAAGTGCTGGTATGCTTCATCCCCACCTGGGAGAAGAGGAGTACGAATTAAGGAACAAATATATACATGCTTAAAATACACCAGCATTGCCCAGATGGTGGGATGACCCTTGTGGGTGCTAGCAGCAACACAGAACAATAAGACCACAGATAAAGGATGAAATCCTGACACAGAAAGGACAAAAAGGCTTTTCTTGCTTCAGTGGGACAAAGTTGCTGCCTGCCCCCCTCCCCCAGACATTCTGTTTTTAAAGTCTATGAATTGCACCCAGTGATTTTCTTGCTGCCCTTCCTTCCTGCTTCATCCTAATCCCAGCCATGATTTTAGTGCCTTTCTTGGGCAGAAGCCAACAGGCATCCATCCCTCTGCACAGCCAAAAACCTAATTTTCATGACAGTGTAGTAGGAAATAACTGGAATATTTTTGAATAAGCAATTTAGTGTAACTGGCCTTTCAGAGCAATATTTTAGTGGGAAGGATCAATGAAAATGTAAATTAAATGTAACTGATTAAATTCAGACTGCCCACCACAAGTGTCCCATTTTAACAAGAGATGCTTTGTTTATTTTCAGTCTTTTTCTAACTCAGTGGAATCTGCTCTTGTATTTTTTTATATAACAGGCTCCAAGTTGTGCTCTCAAATAAATATGAGAGTAAAAAAACTATGTGATGACTGGGTCTGTCTTTAAACTTCTGGGTGGACCCTTTCCTTTTCCATTAAATTTCCTTGCAATGGAGAAGCTATTATCAAGGCACACATTTTTTTGATGCCTTCTCCAGGTGGACTGCAGGCCCTGAACTCATTAATGGATACTTGCTGCCCTTGGACAAAGGAATGATTTGTTTTAAAGGAATCTCTCATAATTACAGAACTCACTGAGCTCTTCTGTAATCTGCCAATAGTGTTTTTTCACTTTCTTTTATTTTCTTTTTTTTGCCTGTTGATTACACCTGTACATGTGTCTACTCCCAAACCACATGAAATCCACAGACATTTTTAGAGGCTGACTGTTTTCTTCAGCTCAGAAATCCCCATATATTTTTGGCTGTGCACTCTATGTTCATGTGACTCTCACTCACTGTAGCTCAATGAAATCTTCTGAAAGAGCTGCCAACTTACCATATTTTCCATGAATTAGGTCCTGACACTTCAATGAGAGGAAAGACAATGTCTGAAACAAGGCCAGCTCTGGCTTTCTGCCTAGTATGTGTCACAGTAATTCTACCAGCTGCCCTTCTACACAGCAGTTCATACTTTTCAGACCACCAAAAAGCCCCTTGAATACTTTCAGTGATAGCTGGGGCTTGAGCTGCCAGCATGTTTTCCCAGCCTCTGGCACCCAGTGGCTTTGGACTGGACCTTGAAAGTTTTTTTGCATGCGTTTGTTTTGTTTTGTTATTTTTATGAATGGCTTCCACAGGGGACTCTGACTCCAGCACAACCCTATCCAGCCATTCATAAAAAGCAGAAGGAAAATATTGTACTTTGCCCAGTTGGAAACTGTCTGTGATACTGACCAAGGCTTTCAAGAATTTTAGTCATTCAAGACCTTTGCTATAGTAGTGCTTCATGTCGAGAGGTCCTTGGCAGTGCTTGCTTACTGCCGGCTAGGTTTCCACTGGACTTGGGATCTGGAGACCAGCACATGTTATGCTTGCTCCCTTAAATGGAAGAAGTTTAGCTATGCAAGCCCAGAAGCAGGGCTCAGTCCCTGAGCCAGTATTAGTGGCACACACTACTGACATGCTGGGAGCTGTGCCCACTCATGTCACATCGAGGGCTCCGGCTTGTGGCAGCTGAATCACTGCAAGTGCCAGTTTTCAAAGGAATTGCTTTTCCTGCTTCAGCCTGGCTGAGTGGGAAAGGTGGCTGGACATATAAATCCAGTAAGGTCCAGTCCTGTGAGAACTAGTGCCTGCTTACTTAGGTCACCCTGAGCAGAAGAACTGAGGTCTTCAGGAATAACAAGAAATTTCCCAAGCACCCCTTTAATCTCTTAAACTGCTGTGGATGTGATGCCTTTGGAACCATTTTGACACACTGTAGATACTAATGCTTCAACTTGCTAAACCTTGTGTTTACTGAGTTAAAAGATCTTTTCAGGGCTTTGAAAGTGACACTTCTGATTCACAAGTGCTGCATCTGCATGTTCCATTAACTGGAAAGAAAGACAATCTGCCTTGGTTATGGGGAAGACTGGAACTATAAGATAGCCATGGACAAGAGATGTTAAATAGGTGCTCTGGAGCAAAATAAAGCTGTAAGCAAGAAACAAGAGCTCTGAACTATTACATATTTTCCCTGCTAGGAGTCTGCAGAGTAAGATGGTAAGAAAAGTAGAACTTCTACTCTGTCAGAGGTTCTCTCACTTGTGTTAGCCATCTTAAGAGGAGATTTGTGCAACACAGTGCTGTCATGTTTCGTTTTTATCCTAAGTTTGAAAAACAGCTATTGTACACTGCATGTAGATCAGCTGATGTTCCATACACTTGAAAGCAAACTTCAGGGTTTTTTATATCATACCCAAGTACAAGTCAACACTAGGTGTCTTTTGTAAATATGTATGATACAGGAAGAACAAGTGAAAGTGTTGGAAAAATCCTATGACCAGATCATTTAAACATCTATCAAACAAGAACAAATCTAAAATGCATCAGTATTTCTTTTGCCATGCTTAAAATATTAAGCATGTAAGCTAAGGCAAAGGATAATAATTTAAAACTTGAGGATAATATTCCTAACTCTGAACAGGAAAAATCCCACAAAATGCCTAAGAAGGAGAATACACAAAATTTTGATGGTTTTATTTCTGCTGTAAGTTTTGAGTGCTAAAAGCCCAACTGTTTATCTTCTACACTTCTTCTACTCCCCCTCTGACACACACCCCTCATTTTGTTTTTTTATTTTCAAATTCTGTTACTTTATGTCAATATCATACACATATCCTTACAGCTCATACTGGTCAAACAATTTCTTTGCTTTCTATATGAGAACAAAAGAACAGCCTCATGTGATGAGTTCATAGTCATCTCGTACCAGCAGTCTAAAGTTGTATCAAATTCAATTAGTCACACTTCTCACTCACAGAAGTCCTTCTTACCCTGTGACTTTTCCTAGTGTTCTAAAGCTAAGGGAGGAAAATGGTAAGTTAAGGGTAAATCTATATCAACTAGTGTGAGCAATGCTGGAACACATTTTTAATGATCAGAAATAAAAGCATTGGTTTGAATGCAAATCATCCCCTGACTGCTATGCCTGAAGCTCCAAGGGTAAGCTGTGCACACATGGTGCTCTTGGATTTTCTGTTCGTGTCTTCCTCTTCAAGCTGAGCATTATGAAGATGTCTGACTGATGCTTCTTGGCAACAGTGACTCTGTTTTTTTCCAACAGCTTGACGCAGATAAGAGATTTGCATGGAGGTATCTCTGCTGGGGAGACTAAATGGCCATGATGGAAACTAATACCCAGTTAGGATGACATTTATAGTGCTGACAGCTCAGTGTTGTGCAGAGATCATTAAAATAATTTCATAGGTCATCCAAACACTTGTAGTTCCAAATTAAAAGATGAGTAAAACCATGTTTAGTCTTTTTGTCTACATACCCCTGAAAAATCAGGAAGTTCATATTATACCAGTTGAAACCAATATAATCCAAAATAAATCATGTCTTACAAGCAGTTCCATATGACAGCAGAGTAACTACCATTCTGCCCCACAGCTTTAATTGGTTTGAGTCCAGCCTTTCCCTCCCTCTTCCAGCACAGAATGATACAGTGCTGGGACCAGGGGCCCACACAGCCTGCCAGGAAACCCTCACCTCCCAGCAAAAGCCACTTGCAGCTTCCTGATCCTCAGCAGAAGTCTTCCTGAAATTGCATGGGATGATGTGCCTGCCATTCACTCCTCAGGTCTAGGTATGCTCATGGCTTGCTTTAGTAATAATCCCCCTTTTGAGGCAGCAGCAGAATGCTTTTTTTATCCCATCAGTAGTGAGGAGACTTGTGTTTTGGAAGCACAGGTCATGAATTCTCCTGCCTCCATCACATGTTTGCAGTCTACTGGCAACCGTAGTGTCTGTGTATGCACACTGCTGTGGGTCATTAGAATCTAACAGCAAAACCATCTGGCCCTTAGAGTTCAAAAGAGATTTCACAGTTCTTTGTGCAGTCTCATAAATGAGGCTAATAGTAATCTGTGGAGAATTCTGGCAAAATCTGTGCAACTATTCTTTATTTTCTATCCTACTTGGCACTCCTCTGAGTTTTTAATACAAAGTCAAAGAATTGCAAAAATATTTATTAGCTTTTAAACTGACCTTCCCTGACTGATGCTGGAAAAGTCTACAACATGTCAGAAGCTACACCAGTTAGTCAATGATAAAGAATATTTCTATTCTACTTGTCAGGGAGAGTAGAGAGCATCACAGTTTTCTAAGTACACAGATTGACTTTTTATAGTTATTTGACTGGCATAAAAAGTTTATATTTAATTTGGCAAATTCAAAGCACTCTGCTTCAAATGACTCTTTTGATAGTCTTAAAATTCAGGCAGTGGCACATATATCCAGTTAGGTATGTGTCTATCCAATGGAGGTCAAGAAATTGACTTTATCAGAGTTAGGATTTCATAAATTTTGTTTCGTTTTTAAATTTGTTTCATAAATTTTGTTTAGGTGTAGAAAGCTACCTTCACTACAATCTGCTTAATTTGGAATGGTTTTACATTCTGAGAGGAATAAAACAGTGAAAGAAATGTATTTAAAAATCCAATTCTGTTTTCTTTTATGCTCATATAATCCATTATTTCTCAGTTGCTTTGACCCAACATTACTCCCACTCCCATTACAGATCTTGACAAGTACAAATTTAATGGTTAGAACAGGAAGGGAAAACCCATCATTTTTATTCATCTGCTAGCTGAACTGTAAGTTCAAGCTCTACAATATTCCAGTGAGTTTATCAAGGATATAATCAAAATTCAAAGCACAGTAGCTGTAAGTTCAGTGTTCTTCA